TTATTTAGAGAGAGTTAGAGATAGGGCTCATTTGAAAGCAGCATTGTATGCTATTCAACGTATTATTGTCCCATAATTAAAATGTATGTTCTTCTTTTTAACTTATATAGGCACAGGAAAAAAGAATTACGCGGAAAAATAAAAAAACCGGATAATTATATTAATTCAAATATGAACGAGCCCAAATCAAATGAAATAAGAAGCTAAAAGGCGAAGAAGATTTTCCGATTAAATAATAAAAATATATTGGAATTATTTCGCCTACTTTTCTAGTACTATTTTTATACCCGTGCGCACATGTACACAAGGGTATTATAACTTTTTTCACATAACGGTTGTTTGTAACAGCCAAAACGAATCGAGATAGATATAGACAAATGTATACATAAATGATCAGAATGAAAAGAGAAGTCGATTAAACCTTGTCTGTCTGTCCGTCCGTCCGTGTACACGATAACTCGAGCAAAAACTGAGATATCTCAACGAAATTTAATACTTAGATCGCCCTTTACCCAAGGTAGATTGGTATTGAAAATGGGCAAAATCGGGCTGTAATCACGCCCACTACCCATACAACGGCATTTTCGAAAATGGCAAAAACTACGATATTTCAGTAAATATTAAATCTAAATTGTTGAAAATTAGTATGCAATGTGGAATTATGGTGAAAAATAATATTGTAATTAAATTTTTAGAAAATGGGCGTAACCCCGCCCACTTATGATGAAATGCTGTATCTCAGTAGCCGCTTCACCAATCCCTACCAAACTCGGTCCGAACCTTGCTTAGAGTCCAACTAAGAAATCTGTTGAATATCTTTTAAATCGGGCAATAACCACGCCCACCCCTCATATAACGGTAATTTACAGAAACACGAAAACTACGATAAATCTGTAATTATTAAAGCTGTTTCACTCAAAACCGACGATTGCAATAATTACCTAGCAGGATATTTGACTATTATACATTTTTGGATAATGGGCATGGGGCGGTAGCCAATTCATCAAATTCAACCAAAATTGGCGCATCTTATAACCTTGGTACGGAAAAGCAATTTGTTGAAAATTATTCTAATCGGACTAAAATTACTCGCCCCTTCCCTTATAACGGTAAATTTCAAAAATACGAAAACATCGATATTTCAAAAACTGAGGACACTAATGTGCTCCAAGTTAGCACTTACAACAGACTCTTAACAATAAATAAGTCTGTTATAGACTTTTAGGAATTGGGCGTGGCACCGCCCACTTTGTGACTACAAAGGTCTATCTCGGTAACCCCTTTATCGATTTCTAGCAAACTTGGTTCAATGATTTCATTAAGTCAGCACGTTTGAAATCGAGAAAAACACCCCAGCTTATCATGCAAAGGTAGTAGAGAGAAAGTAGAAACGACGATATTTGATACCTGCTGATATTTGCTGATTTATAAAATTCCGTTTCGCCAGAACTTATACTTCTTTACTTGTTATTCTTTAAAATACACTCTGTAAGATTTTTCGTTCAAGAGTTACGGCCACTTTAACTGCCGTGTCTTCGAATATAACATCGCCATACCAAGCATATGCTTTTTAACTCATTACGCCATCTTCCGATGGCCATAGTTTCTGAAGGGAAAATCGTAAAGCACCACTCGAAAGCGCATTTTGAAGAGTAAGTATAGTACTAAATGACATAGAGCAAACAAAAGTGGTATTTTTTGCAAATATTGGCCTCAAAATTGATTTTATCAGTCCAATTAATATGAAGTTCTTGAGTTTCATCCTTAAGCTAAGAAGAAGATATACAATATATTTTAAGCATATATTAAATAATGCCACATACTTATCGTCGTTTATAGTACAAAACCGCGTATCAAGAAAATTCTAAACCTCTTAAGAGAGGTTGCCAAAATATTATAGAAGAGAGTAAAATTTGTCTTATTGCAAAACGGTTCTCTATTTTTTCCCTAATTATCTCTTTTCCTTATGTCTAAGTATCGATATTTTAGAATGAATGGAGAAGGGCTTGGTGCCAGGAGCTTCCGGTGAGCAAATATCTTTTTTGGCGCGAATGTTAGTTACGCGGTTTTGTACTTTAAACGACGTTATGCTTTCAGATGCAAGAAAAAAAGTATCAGAAATTTGTATTCTAGCCAGTTTCAGCGTTTTTGAAAAGCAGCTTGAGCTAAAACGTAATGTTACAGTCCGCGTTTTGGGTCGTATACAAATTTAGGAGTACTGTTAGTTTCTTTTTTATCCAATCCAATCATTGGACTACTACTAACTAAGCTGAACTAATATTGGACCACCCTTAGTGTGTCACTGTGGTTAGTAAGTATTCGATTTTTCTATTGCCAAGTAATCAAAAAACCTCTACAAACATATACGAAAAGCAGTTCGTCCAAAAATGAATGCCGTAGTTTCGAATGAAAAAATATCTTCACTGGGTTTTTTTTGTACTAATTGTATATTTATAATAAATGAAATGTCGATGCACTCGTTTAAATGAACCGAACTGCATCCAAATTGCCATATCGAATAAATGCTGACATATACTTTTTGGTAATTAACCGATTCAAATGCACAATTACAATTAGATTGTCGCCAAATAAATTTTTTGTATTGGTATTTATAGGGCACTAGTTTGTCGGTATGAGCCCATGCTGAGAAAAGACTCACTGCGATGTTGGGTCTTAAGGTTAACGATGCCGATAGGTAGGAGTACTTAAATCTGCCTCTCTACGAAATATCGGACTGTAGAGATTCGTTACTTAGATGGTACGAGTTTTAATTTGGATTATTGCGCTTCCCTAACGATTTTAGAGTTTGGATTTCGATGTCTTTTCCTAAAACAAAACAAAAAATAACTTTAGCACTTCGTTCTCTTGCTATATATACAGGCTTACAGATACCACGTTGACGAAGTGGCACGAAATTGAACCGCCTTGTCTGAGTCATTGCCTTGTTTTGGGCGAAGCTCAAAGTTGAGTTCAACTCCCTTTTGCATGGCCGTATGAGTTTTGCCATGATCGCAAATTATGAATTTTGAGCTCAGATGGGCTCTCCTTGTAATTCTATCAGGAGGACTTCACAAATTATTAAAGTGTAGACATACAATCTTGCTTTGCTTCTAAGTGCTGATTTTACATCTAATTAGTTAAATTAAAACAATCTTCCATGCCTGCGAAAAATTACACGTAAGACGTTTCTTTCATGATATTAATACACCCGAAGGTCTGCCATTGCCTGACGAGGCGCGACTGCGATTAGAAAAATTAACAAAGACAGCCGCTGCATAAAAAAGGTATGTATATAAGACCCTTAGGGCCAAATTCACAGTGCGTAGTTAACTCAGAATTTTCAGTACAAAAATCTGTAGTTAACTTCCGATTCGAAGTTAACTACGCACTGCAAATTCGGCCTTTAACAATGTTCAGCTCAGTGGCGGATTTACGGCTGGGGTATTCGTATTATTATCATTTTGATTGATCATCTAAAAAAATCCAAATAAATAAGAAATATCGCTCAAATATATTGTAGTTGAATGTCGAAATTACGCTTACGTTAAGTGCATCAAAAATTCTGACCAACCGCTCCTCTTGTCCACATTTCAACACACAATTCAAGCTTATTTTCGGAATAATTCTGATCACTTTCATAAGGTTCATAAAGTTTATTGCGCTTATCGGAGTTGTACTAATTTTAGGAGAACCAAACATCAAAGTTTTCCAAAACAAATTTTTTCATAAAAGGATTCCGAAGATGAGTATTATTCGTATGGATGAATGGAACTCAGAGTTCAATTCTATAGTAATCACCATTGCTCCCGGCATCGTCTTTATATTTATTTATTTGGCATAGTTTCTTCATATCGATGTCGTACTCTGTGCAAATGTCTTGCTGCATCTTGTCGCATCTCTTGAAATTCCTGAATAAAATCTTCAACAAATTTCAGAGCCCAGGAAAAATCTTGAATTTCTGATTGCGATTGCTTACTCAAAGGAAAAACGACTTCACTATTTTGCAAGATATTTAAAATTCCAAAGTAGAAATAGCAGCCAGGAACTGGGTAGTTTGTTTGTTTGTTGCTGATTTGTCGTTTATATTCGTTGTTATCTCTTCAGGAGCTTCGAAGATTTCTGGCCGAAATTGAATGTATGTACATTGATACCGCACTGGTTCGCCTCTATGCGAATTATTACAAACTGAGATCTATATTTTGAACTAGTATTTCAAAATAAAGGTAGGTTCAAAATAAAAAGCCGTCGGTATTTTCTCATATATAAATTCAGAACTAATATCTCTGGGGCGAGGTACTCGTATAAAAATTAACGTTTCATTTAACTTTTCAGAAAAGAAAAAATTCAAAGCAAGTCGAATGTACACAAGGTGGTGTTGGCAGAACCAAAACAAAAATTACAACAAGTACATCATTTTGACAAAAGGTAAGGTGAATTGAGCGGCTCCGGTAATACCTCCTTGTATAGATTCGCCTTGATTCAAAACTTATGTACGCCTGGCTTATTTTGAATATCTACTCTACAAATTGATGAGATTTTTAAAGCTTTAATTTTCATCTAAGCCACATTAGTTTCCAACTTAACGCATTGAAAACCTTTTCGCTTTTTTAAAAGCAAGCTAAAGAAATAAGTTATAGTAATTTTGCAAATAAATGAAACAATAACTTCTGTTGAAATTGTCTGCATATCTGCGGACCCATGCAATAGCCGCTTAAGCCAACTAAGGCGCCAAAGGCATTGTGTTCTACATTTGAAAGTACTCACGTTGATCTGACCAGGAAGATACCACGAAGATTTTTACAAATCTGATCAACAATTGGATATTCGATTATCATAAAACGACAAACACTCGTCTAAAAATCGTAATGCTAATTGCCACAGATATATAAGGTCTTACATATGTGTGTAGTCAAGTATGTACGTAGGCTTCCCATATTCCTTTTCCTTCTATCTTTCCACTTAAATACATTTATCTACATTTTAATCACACATTTACTTACTTGCACTGCGTATGGAGGACTCCCGGCTGGAGGCATCTTCCCTGGCCATTATCGCAGCTATTGAGAAATCTGTCGCTGAGCCGGCGGCATTTTTACTACCCGCCATTGTTTGAGTCTGATTTGGATTGTTGCCATTCGAATTTGCAACAGCCGCGGCAGCCGCAGCGGCGGCGGCGGCAGCAGCAGCAGCCGCATTGGGCACCGTAGACGGCAGTACGCCATTGCACAGATACGGATGTGAGCCAACAAGCATTTTGGCAGCCTGGGCGTATGATGGGTGAGAAAAATTAATTTTGGCTATTTAACGCTATAAGCGACTGCCGAAAAGGGAGTTTTTTCTGTTTTCTTTTCCGATATTTAAAATAACACTAATGCAGCACTTGTTTCTCTAAGCATCGGCACATATTTTTATTTAGTAAAAATGTATTAAGACGACTTTATGTGGTGGAATTTAAAACTATATGTATTTTGTTGTTGCACTTCGTTATTTATTTATTTATTTTTTGCTTTGAATTTTTGTTAATTTAGTTTAGTTATTTTTGAACTGTCTTGCCACTGTTGTGTTTGTTTTTATTGTTGTGTTTAACATATTATCTTCGTCCCTGGGTGCACGCTTCTTGAAAACGCGTTCGACTACTACTCTTCAGTTGGTTTCTTTCACAACTATTTGCCGTTAAGTACACAATTTTCCTGCTACCAAACACGAATGTGAGAAAACCGCTTTGTTAAAGGCGACGGCGAATACACGACATACAAATGGCGAGCGACGAAAACGGGCATGTGCACAACGAAAGGCAAACGACGACGAACTGACTGCTTGCTGCGGCAAGGAAAGGTGCACAACTTGCCAACAGCAGTCAGACAGGCAGACAGCTAAAGCACAGCGTTGTTGGTGTTGTTTGCTGCGGCGAACGGTGGCAGACGTTGTGGAAACTAGTTTGAGCAGTGTATCTGGTAGGTTGAGAAAACCACACACACGCATGCACAAAGTTAAGCGCACACACGCTTATACTCTAGTGTAAAAATGTCAAAAAAAATACAACAAAAAAAACCAGTCAATGGCTAAGTGGCAGCGTTAATAAGAGCGATCGAAAAAACAGCAATGGAGGCAAAAAGTGGTTTGTGAAAAATCGTAAGTAGGAAGAGGAAGGAAGTATGTGCGCAGCGCCGTGTTAGCCTTGTTCGCGGCGGCACCAACAACAACTCTTCCCTCTTTGCAACAACAACGGGCTGGTTGGTTGGAAGAGCGCAGAAGGCGTCGTATATCGCGGCAAGCTGTTGGTACGAGCAGTGCGACTGCTGCAACTATGGCTGGCAACAACAGTTAGCGAGGGTATACGAGAGAGCGCTTTACAGCCGCTCTGCAATTGGAAAAAATCCAATTTGAATTTTGTGGTTGGATAATTACCGCTGTTGTTACTGGAAGGCAGAGCGCATTCGGCAGCCAACAAAGTTAAGAGCAATCGAGAAAAGTTGTACGCAAGGAAAGTAGTGCGCACGCAGCTATCAGCAAGTCAGAGCGAGAGCGTTCTATAGCTAACTTGCACGACTTGAGAGCCGGCCGTTTGTGTGAATTTGTTGTTGGTGTTGCAAATGCGGTTGTTTTTTCGATTGTCTATTTGCCTCACATCCTCCAACCGCAGCCCAATGTAAGTCGTTTGAGAGCGCCGCAGCTCTATAAGGGGCAAACAAGTGTTGTTGGCGCGTGAGTGGGCTGTGCCTCAAAGGGAAGAATAACAACAAACATAAAGCATTTGTCGTGGAAAAGCTAGCAACATTGCGGCAATGTTAAACGTTATTTGTGTGCTCTCTCTTGAGTTCACCGAAGTGAGCGATGAGTTGTTGCTACAGTTGCACGCAGTAATGGCGCATAATTTTCATAGTGGGTTGGTGTGATGGTTACGTCGGGTGGTGATTGCTCGGCCGTACGTCATAATTCATTCACAATTAAAAATGTCGGCGCGTTGCGTGCGGAATGTTTGCTTCTCATTCGTTCGCTGTGCAGTTTATGTGCACACATACCTACAGCCATACATAGTATCAGCTTATTATTATATTTTAGCTCACAGACTGGTTTGTTGGGCTTTAAGCTGATATGTACCTACTTTTGCAGCGCGAGCATGCGAGTGGCGTGAGTCTAGTGAATCTGAGACTCTTTTGAAGTGTTTTTTCTCCTGTATGTTTTTCTGACTTTCATTGCTTTTATGAAGTGCAAACGCTTTCGTTGCGGTTTTTAAACATTGTTGCTTATCACTTCGCTCCTGCTTTTGCTGTGTTTTCAAAACAGCTTTCGACGCTCAATTTTTTACAACTTAATTTTACTCAAATGTCGCCCTTTCTCGTCAAATTGAGTTGCTTATGTTTCATTTAATTTCCAACACGTTCCTATTTATTGCTTATATGCAAAGTTATTGCTGTTTTTGTTGCCTCTTTACCGCGTATGTTGAGTGTAATTGGTTGCATGTCTGCTTCAGAGTTTCACTCCATAACGAATGCAACGCCATTGTCCTTTCGCTGTGCATTGTTGAGTGTTGTTGTTGTTTTTTTCTTTATTAATGATGTGCCTCTGGCGTTGATGTCGCTGAGTTGCTACAAGTTCCGAGGTACGCGTGTGCGTGGGATATTGTGTTTGCGTTGCCGTCATTGTTGTCGGTAAGCGTTGACTTTAGCGCTGAACTGTTGAAATTGCGTTGTTAACTCCTTTTCTGTTGTTGTTGTAGCCATGTTCATACGTACATATGTATATATGTAAGTAAATATGTACACACAGACATACATACATACGTACATGTACATACCCACTAGAACTGGAAGGGAGATCTCCCAATGTGAGGAATAAAAGAGTACTCCCTTTGACCGGATTTCGGATCAATAGGACAGTATTGTCGGTTTTGAACTCCATTATGACTCGCTTAGGAGTCAAATAGGAGATCTCCTAAGCGAGCAAGAAACGAATACTCCAGGAGGCATGATTTTGGAGCAATAAACTATTTTTGTCGGCTTTGTACTCCGTTATTACTCGTTTAGGAGCCAAACTCGCTGAGGAATGATTTCGGGGCTATAGCTGAGATATGTCGGTTTTGTACTCCGTTATTACTCGCTTACGAGCAAAAAGCGATTTCTCCTAAGAGAGCAATCCAGGAGTATTCCTTTTGATTTATGGGGGAGCTATAGGCACCTCGTTCAAAAGAATTTTTGTGTTATTGGAAAAATTTATCATAAGGAAAACTACTGAAAATATTTCATATAGAAACAATATAAGGAGGATGCAATAATTTAATGTCGATAGCACACATTTAAATGAAGGTCCGTCGGTATGTATTGCAACTTTTGTTTAAATTTATTAAATATTGTATTATATACCGCTAAATACTTTTCAGATTTGGCAAATTATTAGGAGTATCAGCACTTACGCATGACTCCGTGGTTTTAACGTTCATATCACGCCGGTCCAGATCTTTTACTGGGCAAAGTCACCTACACATTAAAACAAGAAAGTTTTATACCCTCTCCCTATTTGCGTGAACTCTTGAACACCCAAGCATCCCTGACAACCAGGACAGCATGTAGTTATCTTGCCGTTTTATTATTATTCTGGTTTACTTTTAATGCATTTGTTCGCAACAGCGATTCCAAAATTAATCAATAATGTACAAGTAACAAGTATTATTTATGTTTTGTCTGATCTCGTACTTATAGGTATTTATTTATTTATTTATTTATTTATTTTAAGCTTCAACGCAACAGCCGTTGGCTATATTTCAGCGCTGACACAATTAGAATTACATAAAAAGCAATTTAAATCTAGTGAAAATATTTGCATCTTATATCTACCTTTATTTTAGATAGGAAAACGAGAGATAGAAAGAATAGAGTAATAAGGAAAAACAGCAGAAGGAACGATTTGTTATACATATCTATATTTCATTAGGCATAAAATTTGTAGAGCTCGCTTTTAAAATGCACAGTGCTTTTGATAAGTCTCAATGCGGATGGGAGGCCATTCCAAAGACGAATAGCGTGGACAAAGAATTGCCGCTCGGATATTGAGGTGTTGTATTTCGAGTGTAACAGCTGTGAAGATCTAGTTGACCGGATATAGTGTAATCGGCACTTTAGATACTGCGGTTCATTCGTGACTAGAATTTTATGCAGCATTACGAGACACCTCACCTTCAATAGATCATTAAACGAGATTGAACAAATCTTTGTGGCAAAATTCGAAATATGATCACGCTTTCTAATGCCATATATATACCGGGAAATATTGTTATACAGTAAATTAAGCTTCTTATTGCATACACTATCACACTTAGCAAACAATTCTGAACCATATAAGAGTGTCGGTATCAGGTAACTTTTAACAAGAAGTAGGCGGATTTTAATTGGGGTAAAATATTGAGTGGCCCATAAGGACCGCAGCATACCATAAACTTTCCCGATCGCTCCATAGATGTGGTTGTTCCAGGTTAGAGTCCTGTTGAAAATTATACCAAGGTTTTTGGCGGAGTCAACGTACCGTATTGTAGAGTTATTCAGCGTAACATTGTCAAAGCTGTCGAGCCGAAAGTTTTTCTTATGTATAACAATGCATTGTGATTTGCTGGGGTTTATGACCAGTCCATTCTTAGAAGCCCAACCATTGACATGGTCTAAATCATAATTAAGATTTCTGATGCAAGTATTAATGGCGTCAGGTGGACAGCTGAGGTACAGCTGCACGTCATCAGCATACACATGAATCCTACAATGCTCAAGTACTTTAGGTAGATCGTTTATGTATAAAATAAATAATAAAGGACCAAGAACGGAACCTTGCGGTACACATTGCACTACAGGAGCCAGGCAAGATAAAGAATTACCCGCGCATACTGCTTGCGACCTATGAGACATATACGAGTGTATTAAGTTTGACGCTGAGGTCGAGAAGTTGAAAAGATTTGCAAGTTTTAAGCACAATAAGCGATGGTCCACGGTATCAAATGCTTTAGAGTGATCCAGAAGGGTGAGAAAGGTCACGTAGTTCTCATCCAGTTTTTGCCTAATATCGTCGGTGACATTCAGTAGTGCCGTGATACAACCTCGATTTTCCCTGAAACCAGACTGGTATTCGCTCACTAAAGAATGTTTTTTTAAAAAATAATGTATTTGCTTATACATCAGGTGCTCCAGCACCTTGGATAGAAACGGTAGGATGGCTATCGGTCTATACTCGCCATTTGGCTTACGGATCGGAATTATTTTGGCCTTCTTCCAGCAGCTAGGAAACTCCGATTTGGTTAGGATTACATTCAGTGTGTAGGTTAGATGCGGCAAAATTTTTGGCAGAATACATTTAAGGAACTTGGGGTGAATACCATCCAGCCCTACAGCATTAGATTTAATGGCAAGTATTGACTGAACTACGTCGCAATCATCAACACAGACAAAATTGAATTGTTTTAACTTGTTATGAGGGCGGGAACTATAGTCATCGTAGCTGATATTTCTTTTGCTTGGCTTAGTAAATTTTTGATTAAGCACATTAACATCAACATCAACGGTTGCCGTATTTACTTTTTTGCCTATACCTATCTCTCGAATCTGTTTCCACGTTTGGTTGGAACCGACTGCTACACTGAATCTGTGTTCATAATATTTTCTCTTTTGTATTCGTATGGCCCTAATGGCCTCCCTCTTCAGTATTTGGTAATCGGTGAAGAAGGCATCTGTTTTAAAGAGCTTCCATTTGTTATATGCTGAGTTACGCTGATTTATAAGTCTTTTAATATCTTGATTAAACCAGGGACGGTTCGTGTGTGTTTGCGACCTTTGAACAAGTGGGACATATCTGTTAAAAAGTGTGTTA